AGGTGGGCAGTCAAAAGCAGCATTAAAAAGTAGAAGTTACATCAAAAAACAAACAAACAGAAAGTAGAAGCTACATGGTGATACAGAGAAGAAAAATTAATCATTCAAGGGGAAAAGGAAGGGTTGGTGCCATTTACCATTTACTGGGGTTGCAATTAACTGATTGAAACATTCATTATAAAACTGTTTAATACAGATGGGCCAGGTTAGTTGGACTGAATCTGAGCGGGTGTTTTTTGACATCCCAAACTTTTTCAGAAGGTTTCTTCATTTGGAGACAAGTGGGAGAGAAAAACACTGGAATACAGTGTCTCATACTTCCCTGAGGTTGAGCTCCCAAGGCAAGATGACCCAGCAGCAAGGGGCAGAGTTACATTCACGACTCCAGCACATCAGAAGTTCTGATGTTGGTGACAGGCATACTTGGCTTTGCACCTCTCTCTCCCTGGATGATCTTGGGCAAGCTTCTCCTAAGCCTCAGTTTTCTCTAAAGTGGGGACTCAAAACAGGAACTCCCACCGTACCCCACCCCTGAAACTGCAGTTCATGGAAATGACCTGGATAGCATAGAGCCTGCACTAAGACTGTTTCCTCCTGACCCAAAAAGAAATGATCGTCAAGATGTAGAAGGCAGCCTTCCTATAAAATATACCGCTGATTCCTCTCCTCAACCCAAGAGCCCGTGGTTACATCAGATTTGGGGCTCCACTTCCCACCCTCATCCCCCCATGGCTGATGGGAAGGAGGGCCTGACCCGGGACCACCAGCCTGTCAGAGCTCCGCCAGGCACACTTCTTCAGAGGCTTGGGCTCGCAGCTCCTCCTTTTGAAGTTTTCTGGATTATTTTCAGTCCATCAGAGGTTAAAAGGGATATTTATCTCGTTACTAACCCCTCCTCCGAATTGTAGTGGGCAAATGACTTCAGCACAGCTGGATCAACAAGTCTTCTGAGTGAAAGAGGAATTTTGAAGCGTGCCCTGAACTCCGGGGTTGGAAGGCCTGACTTGGAATAGGAGCCCTGGTGTTTTAACGTCGGATGGGGACTCCCGCCGTAGGGAGACGGCTCGCTGCTCCATCGCAGTCCCACCTCATTCCGGGTTTTTTTTGTTTTTGTTTTTTTTAACCAATAACACGCACTAGATGGGTATTCACAATCCTCTGTTCTGAAGCAGGTTCCTCCCACCCCGCCTTCCATCACCCGTCTGCGGAGGCACAGAAGACACCCCTCCAAGTTAGGTTCTGCCCAGAGGGACCGCCTCGTCGCGCCCGCGCTCAGGCCCCAGGCCGGCAGCGGACGGCTCCGGGCGACCGCCGCGCGCAGGCCTGGGTCCCGGGGCAGCGGGACGGCGGGGGAAGGACGAGCCGCCCCGCTCAGCCCCTGCCCAGGCCCCGCGCGCGGGGCGTCGCCCGGGGCCGCCCCCTTCCCGGCCACTTCCCCCCCATCCCGGC